AAATGGGCGGGGCTTAATTTTAAGAACGGGCGTGGTTAAAATGGGAAATGGGCGGGGCTTAATTAAAGAAGTGGGCGCTCTTAATTATAATAACGAGCGTGGTTAAAATGAAAAAAGGGCGGGGTTTGATTAAAGAAATGGGCGGGGCTAAATTTTAATAATGGGCGGGGGTTTAATTAAAAAGGGGAGTGGTTTAATTGGGGAAGGGGTGGGGATTAATTTTACTAATGGGCGGGGCTTAAATTCGGAAGGAGAGGTGTTAAAGTGTTAAAGGGGCGGGGTTTTAATTAATGGGGCGTGGTTAATTAAATAAAGGGGAGGGTTTAATTAAAGAAAGGGGAGGGGCTAATTAAATAAAGAGGCAGGGGTTAATTTTAATAATGGGCGGGGTTGAAATCTGGAGGGGCGGGACTTAAAATTAATATTAAATGGGGCGGGGGGTTAATTAAAGAAAGGGGCGTGATTAAATGGATGACTGGCGGGGCTTAGTTTTAATATTAAAATGGGGCGGGGTTTAAAATTAAAAGTGGCTGGATTTTAATTAGGAAAATGGGCGTGGCTAAACGCAAAATGGGCGGGGTTTAAATGAGAAAAGGGGCGGGATTTAACGGGGTAATGAGCGTGCCTTAATTTAATAAGGGGCGTGTTTTAAATTTAAAATTACTGGATTTTAATTAGGAAAAGGGGCGTGGCTAAACCCAAAATGGGCGAGGTTTAAATGCTTAAAGGGGCGGGGTTTAATAAGAAAATGGGCGTGACTTAATTTAAAAAGGGGCGTGGTTTAAAAAGCAAATAAATTTATTTTAATTGGGAAAAGGGGCGTGGCTAAAGCCAAAATGGGCTGGGTTTAAATGAGGAAATGGGCGTGGTTAAATATTAAAAGGGGCGTGGCTAAAAGGTAAAAGAGGCATGATTTAAATATATAAAACAATTGAATTTTAATTAGGAAAATGGGCGTGGCTAAACCCAAAATGGGCTGGGTTTAAATTAGGAAAGGGGCGTGGTTTAATATTAAAATGGGCGTGGCTAAAAGGTAAAAGAGGCGTGATTTGAATACATAAAATGACTGAATTTTAATGAGGAAAAGGGGCGTGGCTAAACCCAAAATGGGCGGGGTTTAAACGAGGAAAGGGGCGTGGTTTAATATTAAAAGGGGCGTGGCTAAAAGAGGTGATTTGAATACATAAAACAATTGAATTTTAATTAGGCAAATGGGCGTGGCCAAACACAAAATGGGCGTGGTTTAAATTATGAAAGGGGCGTGGTTTAATATTAAAAGGGGCGTGGCTAAAAGGTAAAAGAGGCGTGATTTGAATACATAAAACAATTTGAATACATAAAACAACTGAATTTTAATGAGGAAAAGGGGCGTGGCCAAACACAAAAGGGGCGGGGTTTTAATGCGAGGGGGCGTGGTCAGAGCCCAAGGGGGCGTGGCCTGACCAAGCCCCGCCCCTCAGTGGGACGGCACCGTGCGGCTCTGGACCTATCGCGACGCAGAGGAGGAGGAGGGGGCGGAGCTTCGGACGGAGGGGGCGTGGCCTCAGCGGGAGAAGGGGCGTGGCTTGGAATAAA